GGCTCCGCCCCCAGCCCCCACCCCATCCTGCCCTCCTGCCCCTGCAGCAGCCTGTGGTCCTCCCATGGTAGCTCGTGGGTCTGGTTTTACATCTTCCCCACGCGCGAGTCCTTCCCGGCTGGTGGGCAGGGCTGGTCCCTGTGCGCTGGCTGCCCTGCCCCAGCACCACGCTGGGGCTTGCTGTGCCCTGATGTGTGAGGTGTCAACCCTGTTCTCCAGTCACCTGCCCTGTGCACAGCGCCAGGCCTCACCCTCGGCCTTTGGTCAGGGTCCCCTGGATGAGTGTGTTCCCGCCGGAAGCCTGGACCCCATGCCACTGATCGCGCAAGCTTGCTCATAGCCCACCTCGCCGCTCACCGGTTCTCTCATGTCTTAAATTCATGGGGTTCTCCATAAAAAAACTAAAAAAAATCACTATTATAAATAGTGTGTTTTTTCAAATTAGCATTTTTTGCTCTTTATAGGGATCCGGGCATTTTTTTTAGATTGATATACTACATTGTGGATTCTCTTAGATTATCTTTGTGGACAGTGTCTGTGAAAATGGCAGTTTGGGGGGCTTTTTCCTGTCTTATCCAAACTCAGTCAGGACCAGGACCACCAGCCCAGCCAACGTGACGGGGCGAGTGCGTCTCCCCAGCCTCGGTGCTTCCTGAGGGTCGCCTTTATCACTGACGTGTTTTTGTTTGCTCTGTTTTATGGTCAGCACTGGTCATGTCTAAGTATCCCTTCATTGCTCTGAGGGACTCGCCCAGACGGCCTTCCTGCCTGCCCCTCCTGCCCTCTGGCCTGCGCTCCAACCAGCTTCCCGCGGATGCTTGATTTGTTGGCTGGTCTTCGCTGACTGGCCTGCCTCCCTGTAGTGTGTTGGCCCCCAGGGCAGGTCTTCTCTTTGCCCCCGGAGGCATCCCAGCCCCCTTGCTCCCCAGAAGCCCTGGGTCAGGCAGTCACCCTCAGGTCTAACCACTGGGGATGAGGTTTTTTTCTATGTGAAAGTGGCTTTGTTTCTCAGTGTGGATGACTGTGCGCCGTCTTGCCATTTTCTGGGTTGCTTGTCCGTTCCCTAGAGGTCGGCGATGATGCTTGCAGCCCCTGCTGGGTCTCCTTGGGTGGGAGGTGGTGGGAGGGGGTTCCTCTCTGCCGGGTGAGTTCCTCGGCCGTGTGGGCTCCTGACTGCCTGTGGCTCTTTCACGTGAGTTTGGAGGTGGCTTGTATGATGACGGTATTTTGTGTTTCTTGCTCGAACTGTTTGTCATGAGTGTCTGCGTGTTTAGACCTTAATGTCACTCAGTAGCATTTTACAATAATCTCCCTCCCTGAAGGCTGTTCACAGCTGTCCTTGATTTGCAGACCTCATTCCTGGTGGTGGGAAGCTCCCCAGCAGCTCTCTGGGGAGCAGGGGTGGTGCGCATGTTCCTCCTGGTCCGAGGGGCTGCCCCCAGTGACCCCGGGAGCAGTGGTGCTCCATGCCTGGGCGCAGGGCCGGCTGCTTTTCTGCACCTTTTGCCGTGATAACGCTCTGCTCTGTTGACACGTGAGTTCCGGTCTCAAGGCCACCCTGTCCCGTTGGAGAAGCCCCTGGCTGCCATGCGTGAGGCCTGCGTGTGAATGGGCGTGCTGCGCGGGTGTTGGCGGTGATGGCAGCCTGGGACGCGCGCCCTGTGCGGTATGCCTCCCCCTGCCTGCCGCCGGCCCTGAGGTGGGCTCATCTGATCTTCCAACGGGGAACCTTTTCTGATAAATCTTTCTTCTCCTTTTCTTTTGGGGGTGGGAGGAAATTTTAAACTACTGATTCAGTTCCTAAAATAATCATTTACTAGAGGTGTGTGCTTAGGGTTTCTTTTTCTGTGTTGGTTTTGGTTACGCCTTTCTACAGGTCTGCGTAATGTTGGCTTGTGCGGTGAGATTTCCAGCTGCTCTCTGCCCCGCATGGACTGCATCCTGCCTCGTGTTTCTGTCCTCTCTCCGTGGCAGTCGTGGGTCTGCGACAGCTCAGGCCTGTCTTTTCAAAGAACGGTTTTGGCTCTGTTGGGGCTTTCTCCCATGCTTCATACTGCAGTATTCCTTGCTCTCTGTCTTTCCCTCTTTTTGAGTTACATGGACCTGTGACTTCGCATCAGGTCAGCAGGGTGGCGGTCTGGTGCTTGCATGGTCCTGCTCCCCACAGTGGGGTCACCAGCACGCCCTCTGCCTCACGTGTCCACGGCTGGAGGGAGTGGGAGCCCCCCGTCTGTGGCCAGCACTGTGCGGGCAGGTCTCACACGCCCTTATCTCCATCTCCATTGTTCCATTTTCTAACTTTAACGTGTCCCCTCGGATGCCTAGCATGTTGCCAGCCTGCCTTTCCATCTGAGAGGCCCTCTGGGTTGTGAACTGCAGGGTAGTGATCCCACGTTTTGGGTTGAACCCCAGCACTTTTCGCCCTAGAGTCCAGTGGCAGCAGTTGTGGGTCTTGGCAGTAGGTTCATCCCATGCGAGCGTTGGTGGTCTGGTGTCCTGCCGCATTCAGCACTGACACCCTGGGGTGTGGGGGCCAGTGTGCCCATCACCCAGGAGGGAACGGCTGTCCCACGGTGGGCTCGGAAGCCGAGTGGGTGTCGCTGTGTGCGGGCGCCCTGCATCCCGCCCGGCTCTTGGCACCGTGGGCCACGTGAAAGCGCCTGGGTGAAGCACTGTGCTCAGCCCTAAAGGTCTCTTTCCAGGGGAACACCAAAACCACAGATTGGTGAGCCCGCCTCGCTGGGTCCTCCTCTGGTGTCCTGGGCGCCCGAGTACCTCCTGCAGTTACGTGCCCCACGCTTTTTCTCCAGAGCTCAGCACAGATCTAGCACCTCTGCCTGCTGGGTGTCGGGAGGCACCTTGTTTGTGAGATTTGTTCGGAAAGTCTTGAGAAGATCAAATTTCTGATCCTTTCAATATATTCTTGGATAATATGAAAAAAATTAGGACAGAATACAAAATCATAAAGTTGCATAAAACAGATGCATAACCTGACGAACTGCGGCCCTCTTGAGATAGGACCTGGCTGGGCCCCAGGACCACCGCTCTCCTCACTGGTGGGGCTGCCTCCTGGCCCTCTTCCTGGGCACCTGGGCTGCTGTGCCTCTGCAGTTGCCCGTGTCCACTGGGCGTCTCCTCCTCTAAGGGTTCCTCCTAGTCTCTCCCTTTGAGGTTGTCAAGGGAGCTGGATCACCACCCTGCTGCGGCCCCCGTCCCTGTCCCGTGGCTGGTCTGTGCTTCTGTGGGCGGTTTGGTGCGTGATTGGCAGTTGGGTTGGGGGTGGGTTAGTGGTGGCGCAGCAACTCCCTGAGGCCTGTGTGCACCCTGTGCCCCGGTGCTCGGCCCCCGAGCTGTCCTTCCTTTGTGACTGTTTCAGCTCGTGAGGAATAATCAGGACTGGAATAAACTTTTTCAGTAAATATTTTAGAACAGCTTTAAATGTATTTTCACCAATGCCTTGCTGTTCATACCTGTGGGCTGCTCAAGGCCCAGAAATATGGACTCTGGGGGAGTGGTGGTTTGTTCCAGGAGGGTGAGAATCTCCATGAGCATGTTGCCAAGCATGTTTTAGACCTTCAGTTTGTTCAATACTTTTATCTGCATGTACTCATTTGGTCCCTGAGGCCAGTGAGCGCATGGTCACTGTGATGTGTGAAGGCGCCTGTCCGCACGTGCTGAGGTGCGCTGAGCTGCACGGTGAGGTCACTGCTCACTCAGCACCTGCTTTTCCCTTCAGTCAGAAGTGGCAGATCGGCCCTGCCTACAGTTGACCTGGCCTCTTGTCGCCTCCTGCCGAGGCCGCGTGGCTGGGCATCCCAGGTCTGCAGACCAGCAGCCCGTGGCCCCACCCAGGCTTCAGAGCTCGGGGCTTTCGCTTGCCACGGGCGCTCTCGGCACCTTCCTCTTGGTGCTGCACCCTGTGGGGCTGCTTTCCGTGTCTGGGCACAGCTGGCTCCATGTGGTTCCTCGGTCGGGTTCCCCTGTGGGACCGACGCTCCTGCCAGAAGCAGCGGCCTGAGCGTGGGACTGGGTGACCCCGAAACATGGCGGCGTGCGCAGCGGGTCCTTCAGTTTGGCGTGGAATTTGGGGCAGTGTTGGAAGCATGTTGGAGGTGCTGTTGCTAAGAGGGCCACCTCAGGTCTAGATGTGGCAGAGCGGGGCTGTTCTGAAAGGTTTGGCCTTGATTATTTTGTAAAATAATAATTTTGAAAACTTTTGATTTGCATTCTTCAAAAGAATTGGGTCTTAAAATTCCTTGATTTCTTTTCTGAAGTTTTGATGTTTGGTGCACAGAAGAATGCATATTTCATTTTGTATTTCTGTTTTTAATTTATAGTTGAGTTTTTATTATCTTTGGGGTCCTTCTGAGGCATGGATGAATCATTCCTTGTTTCAGCAGGAAGGGTAGTAGCAGGCACATGGATGCTTTCTGGGGTGCCTGGAAGGGTTTTAGGTGACCGTCATTTCCCCTCAAGCACATGTGTTTACAAGCTCTCTGCATTGTTTGAGGACTGAAAGGGCCCGTCGTCATTTTGGAGGTGGAGGCTCCTCTGTCTTCGCCCCCGAAGTAGCAGCTGCCTCTGCCTCCCGTCTGTCCTGCCTCCTTTCTCTGTGGGGTGACTGGGTGAGACCAGTGCTCCACATTCCCCTGCCCTTCGTGACAGCTTCCCCTAGATGCCGGCTAAGGTCAGTGTGTGTGCGGACAGCAGAGCACGTAAGGAATTAAAAACGTTGACAGCTTTGCTCAGCACGTTTCCCTTTTAGATGTTTAATCTACTGGACACTTGAGTGAATTAAAAGTGGCTGAAAACTGGGGGATAGTTGGAGCCATGGGCTTAATTTCAGTAGAACCAGGGATTTATGTGTGCCAGGAATGAGAAAGAAAGGGTGTGGACACACATGGCTAATTAGAAGTAATGCTGGCACTTCTAGTTTCCATAATGAAAACATGTAAATATATCGCCTCGAAGCTAAACTCTTGAGTTTTTCCATGTTCTAGATTAAATAGGATCGCAAATCAGGTGGCCATTCAGCGGAAGAAGCAGTTTGTTGAGAGAGCCCACAGCTACTGGCTACTCAAAAGGCTGTCTAGGAACGGCGCACCGCTGCTGAGGAGACTCCAGTCCAGCCTGCAGTCCCAGAGAAACGCGCAGCAGGTACGTGGCCCTCCGCATACTTTGGGGCCTCTCGCCCTCCTGACACGCGGTTCAGGCGCAGCAGCCCAGAGGGCGTGCGCCTGCTTCTGGAGGCACACGAGGACCCGCGAATGCCCAGGGCTGTTAGCTGCGGGTCGCGCGGGAGGTTCAGGTGTCCACGCCACCTGATATTTCTGCAGCCTGAGCTCCGCGTCCTTCCTTGACCGCTCCTGCTGGGGAGACCACAGGGGTGGGAGCAGCAGGAGCAGGGCCCAGACCCCTCAGGGTAGGTGCCGAGGGGGGAGCCGACACCCTTTCATCCGCAGCCCTTTCTCAGTCAGTGTGTTTTCTGGGTTCCATGTCCTCTTCCATGTGGCCTGGCTGTTGATGGGCACCTCACCCTGACTTTTCCTAATTCCACTGTGGTGACAAAATAGGAACTTAAAGTATTAACACATACAGATACTCAGGTTTTTAAAAACATTTGGGTTTTAACATCTTTTATATACTTTGAGATCCACAGAGAAGCTTTTAAGATTCTGGGCTTCTTCAGGATGGGCAGTGCTCCCTGGACCCTCCCCCATCTCTGGGGAAGGAGGTGCCTCAAGGCTTGAGGGGTGTGTTTCTCAGCCCCGTTGCCCTTCTGAGGTGTGCTATTGGGCTGTCACTGCCAGGGGTCCAGGGCCAGTGCCGTGCCTGCAGGGACACGTGGGCTCAGGCCGTGCAGGCCTCTTTGCAGGCCTGGCGCCGCCTCCCTCATCCAGGATGTCCCAGGTTGTGGGGTTGGGGATGCTGGGTCCGGTGTTCCGGCACACAGAAGGGGGCTTCCGTAACGAGGTCACGGCTTCTCTGGACGCTCTCGTAGACGAGGCCAGGTGGCAACCTGAGCAGTCCGTTGTCTGTTGCCGGCCTGCTCTGCCCTGCAGCACTGGGACTGCCGGCCGCCTCGGACCCTCCCTTGTGGCGCATCACGCGGGCTGCTGGCTCTGGCTGTGTGCGTCTGTGCCAGTCTGGAGTCTGTCCTGAGCCCTGGCGGCATACCTGGGGACTTTGTTCCTGACACATTCTTAGCTGAAGTGCTGTGTGCTCGTCCCTCCTCCCTTTGGGGTGGTGGTTCCCCTCAGGGCTGAGCCGGGACTCACACCTGCGGAAGTCGGGGTGTCAGCCACTGCACTTGAGAGGCGCTTGCTGGGTGGCCTCGGGAGCTCTTTGGAAGGTGGGGTGGCAGGAGCCTGGGCCTCTGTGGGTGATGGGGCCTGGTAGGAAGATAAGGACATGGAGATAGATGGGAGCCTTTGTGGTGCTCCAGGGAGTTGTTGCAGAGGGATAGGGGAGAGCAGAGAATGCAGACCCAGGATTCCCGTCTCAGGCTGGAGGAGCCCCTCGCACACAGGCTCCCCATGCTGGAGGGTGGGATGGGGGCCGCCAGGGCCCTGGGGCCTGGGGAGGAGGGCACGCACTGGGAGGCTTGTGGACAGCGCGGCCTGTGGTGCGCACGCATGCGCAGGTTATGAGAGCACGGGGTGCAGGCCAAGGAGGTGTTGGTGTGTCAGCCACGAGTCCACAAGCAAACTGAGTTGGTGAGGACGGGAAACTCGAGGGACAGGCGGGTGCTCGCCTGGCAGAGGCGCTGGGAGGAGGCTCTCAGATCAGGGTCCACACAGCTGACCTGCTGGTGCCGACAACCCTGACGCACCCTCACTGGGCTGGGGTCGCAGTGCTGCTGTGAGCTCACCTGTCTGGGCAGTGGGCGCTCTCTTGTCATTCGTCAGGTGGAAGTTGGCTCTGTCCAGATGTGGACGTGGTGTCCTGGTCTCTGTACTGGTCCCAGAGACGACTTCCCTTCTATGCCATTTTCCCGAGGCCCCCTGGGGTTGGCGTTTGCATAGGAAGTGAAGACCACTCAGCGGAGGAGGTGGCACACGTCTGTCACCCCGTGAGTGGGCACCGCGTATGCAGAGAGCGGCCTCGGCCAGCAGGGAGGATGAGGTAGCACTCACCCGGCTGCACGTCGTCGTTTGGTGGTTGTGCTAAGAATACCTGCTTTAAACGCGTGGGCTGGAGGTTTCCACAAGGTCTGGGGAATGTGGTTTCCAAATACACCTTTTTGTGTATTTACTGGTCTTGCTTAAACAGCGATTGCCTGTAACTCCTATTTGATGCCTGAGAATTTTAAATGTCAGAATAGGCCTCGTGACTCCCGCCTGGTGGGTCCGGCGCATAGCCTGGTCTCTCCCTCCTGAGCCTCTGTGTCTTCATGCTACCGTGGGGAGCGTGCTGGGGGCCCTCCTGAGCACCCTTGGGCGGTGTTGGCTGTGGGTGGCTGTGAGTGGATCCAGGCAGAGTGCTCCCTACAGCCGGGTGATTGGTGCTGAGACCCAGAGTCAGGCGGCGGTGGCGGGGCTGGGGGCCCCTCTGGATGGATGTGCTGTCTCAGCTATCTCTGCATCAGGTGGGCTGGAACCCCAAGGGGCACAGCCGTCCCGAGTGGAGTAATTCCAGAAACTGGCCCAGGGCTGTAGGTGTTTGTCCCAAGAGAGGTAAAGGCCTCCCTTGGTCCAGGGAGAAGAGCACGGAAACCTGTAGTGAGTGTCTTTGGCTGCCGTGGTCAGGGGGTGCCGGATGCTTGCCGGAAGTGGAGGGGACAGTGTGAGTGTGGCAGGGGAGTGTGATTCAGGGCCCGGGGGGGAACCCTGGCTCCTGCCTCCTTGCTGTTGTGGTAGGCGGCAGGGGCGTGGTTGGGTAGCGGGTGGGCCTTGGGCTGGGGACAGCTCTGGCGGGCGTAGCCCCTGGCATGTGGCTTCTGTGTTGCTGTGTTGGGGCAGCAAATGGGTGGAAGGTGGTCCCAGAGCTGAGGACGGGCAGCAGCTGTAAGAGTGCATGGTGACCACCCTGGGAACTGCGGACACAGCTGCCACCAGGCCATGTGCAGTGGCCACCCGCCCAGCCTCATCAGGCCCGAGCTGCAGGACTGTCTTCCATTTCTTTGCTTTTTTAGTGTAACCTTTAATTTTGAAAAGGTTAGAATGGAGTGGCTGGGCCGCAGGTTGCTTTGAGGCCAGCGGCACGTGTGTCCCAGGGAGGGGGATGGTGCTGCAGGGGCACCACGGAGCCGCCGATTTCAGAGGTGCCAGGGTGAACGCCTGTGGCCGGGTCTGCGCCGGGACGTGGTGTGGGGCAGCGGTCGGACTCGGAACCGGTGTGTCCAGTGCACAGGCCGCCCACAGCGGGCCTGGCCTCAGCCCTTCCGTGTTCTGGCTGCTCCCGGGCCGTCCTGCCCGCCCGGCGTGTGACCCCAGGGGGAGGGCTGGCACCCTGGCCGCGGGGACGCTGGGTTTCTGAGGTCAGGGTGCCGGAGGCTGACCCCGGGTCACTCTCTCAGAGGGCAAACGATGAGGAGCTGCAGGCCGCCAAGGAGAAGCTCAAGTACTGGCAGCGGCTGCGGCACGACCTGGAGCGCGCGCGCCTGCTGATCGAGCTCCTGCGCAAGCGTGAGAAGCTCAAGCGGGAGCAGGTGAGGCGCCGCGCCCCCACTGGGGCCCAGGGCCTCCCTCCCTTGGGGCGCAGGCTGGCCGACCCGCCGCGGGGGTTTGGGAGGGCACCGTGCGTGGGCCGTCCCCCGTGCAGAGGCTTCGGGCCTTTTGCGGGTGGTGGCCAAGGTGTGTAAAGTGGGAGCCTGTCAGCAGCAGGCAGTGCAGGTGTCCTCAAGCTAAAGCCAGTGCCGGCTCTCCCAGGTGAAGGTGGAGCAGATGGCGCTGGAGCTGCGGCTGACCCCGCTCACCGTGCTGCTGCGCTCTGTGCTGGACCAGCTGCAGGAGAAGGACCCCGCCCGGATCTTCGCCCAGCCCGTTAGCCTGAGGGAGGTGGGTGCTCGCGCCCTGGCGCCTGGGTTTGCATGCTTTCTGGTTAGTAAGCATGAGCTTGATAGAGTGTATGTTCATTTATTTCCTCGTTCTTTTAAAATTTAATGTGTGTTTTAATGATAAAAATGAACATTTCATCATAAAACATTGTAAACGAGATAGCGTGAAAGCTTCTGCTGAGAGCCTCCGAGCAGTCGGTGGGGTCTGCCGGGATCGGCGCTCGGAGCTGCTCACGCAGGAGCCCGCGTCGGGAGGGCCCCTGGGAGGACACGGGGCTCATCGGGTGTGTCTCCCTGCTGCACACATTTGTGCCGTGTGTGTGTGTGCGTGAGTGGCTCTCAGGTAGCAGGTGTGTTGGTTATGTAGAATGAAAGAGTTCTTTTTTGTTTGTAAATGACTATTCTTCTTCCCAAAATTAGGTGCCAGATTATTTGGATCACATTAAACATCCCATGGACTTTGCCACAATGAGGAAGCGGTTAGAAGCGCAAGGGTATAAAAACCTCACTGAGTTTGAGGAGGATTTCGATCTCCTAGTAGATAACTGCATGAGGTACAATGCCAAGGACACGGTGTTTTATAGAGCCGCAGTGAGGCTGCGCGATCAGGGCGGTGTTGTTCTGAGGCAGGCCAGGCGCCAGGCGGACAGCATCGGCTTTGAGGAGGCCTCGGGGACGCACCTGCCCGAGCCGCCTGCCGCGGCCCCTCGGCGGCCTTTCTCCTGGGATGACGGTAAGCACAGCCCAGAGCCCAGGGACAGACGGGAGAATGCTCTTCCAGTGGACTGTGTCCGCGTGACCTGGTAGACTAGAATGAGGACCACGTACGTGACTTCAAGTTAGTGGTGGTTTCATGAAGGAAAGGAAAAGAAATAGGTGAAATCACCTTAATAACATTTCTTTAACCCAGTATACCCACAGTTTCATGATTTTAACATGAAATTGACATAAAAATTATTGAGGGTGTCTTTCATTGAAAACCAGCCACGTTTTAGGTGCCCACTTCAGAGGCACATGTGGCCAGGGGCCCTGTGTGGGACAGCCGGGGCCACCAGACACAGATCAGGAAGCATTTTAGTTGGTCTTATACCCAGGGTGGGCCTTGATGGACTTCCGAGGCTGTCTTGGGAGTCAGGGAGTCCTGCGAGCCTCGTCTCAGAATGAATGGAGAGCCAGCACGGGGACTCTGGCTGCTCTGGCCCACGCCGTGCCTCCCTCCAGGGATCAGTGTAGCTGTCTACTCACTGTCCCAGTCCTCGGAAACGGGTGGCCATCATGAGACAGACCTCCCTGGACTGGGATGGGGCTCAGGGGCCTCTGTGGTGCTGGGCCTTTCAGAACATGGCTGTAAAGTCACCATGTGTGAAGTAAATTTCTATATCCTGGTTTTCTCTGAGGATAAAATGAAGGGTAAGAAGTCCCACCTGGTTTCTTCCCCAGTGTTCGGTTGGGGATTTAGGTGAGCCAGAGAACCGTATGTCACATGACAGGTGCTCCCCACCACCCCCTCTGTGGCACATCTGCCGGGGCCTGGGGCGCCTCCATGCGGTGCCGAGGCCCGCACGCTGCCTCTGTGCTACACAGGGTCGTTCCTTCTCTGCTTGGGGGTAAACGAGACATCGGGAGTGTCTTTCTTTGGGGTTAGAGTGAAAGAGTTTCTGTTCATGGGGATGTCTTTGGCTGTGTTCTCTGTGGAGCTCCTCTGAGGATCGTGATTAGGCCCACTCCTTTATTTCCCACTGTGACATCTTGTTCAATTCACAGAAGAGACACATGCTCTTAATGAAAGGCTTGTTTCTGGAGGAGGGTGGAGCCATTAGTTTCTGACCATCTGTGGTGGTCTTCCACCCTCACCTCCCATATTTCCAGAGTGTCTTTCCTTAGCCACCTCCCTTAATTTGAGATAATTTATGCTTTATAAATTTTGGTGTTTTGCCGAAATTCAAATGGATAGTGATTTTTGTAGTAAATATGCCTGAAATTCAGATTCTTAGTTGCACAGCCCAGGTTTAACAAAGCCACTCAGGGGCCTAGGTGTGGAGACAAGCTCAGACATTGGCTGTGGTGTCCAACAGCCCCGGGTTGGTGCCCTGGTACGGAAGGGCCTGTGTGTGCCATCAGCAGAGGCGCCACCCTCAGGGCTCCTGCTCACCTGCCTGGATTCAAGGTATGGGTGCAGCTTGGTGCTGTCTGGCCCTGGGAACTGGGTCTCGGTGCCTAGCAGCTGTGGATTCAGGTCTCCCTCCTGGAGCACCCTGACACCCATGGGGTGAGGCACATGTCTCCCTGCGCAGGCAGTTGGGTGGAGGGGCCTGCGTCAGTGAGGTTGTTGCAAGGGACAATGGTGTTTGGTGGCTGATGGAAGCGTGTCCTCTGGCTGCAGTGGACAGGTTGCTGAACCCGGCCAACAGGGCCCACATGGTGCTGGAAGAGCAGCTGAGGTTGCTGCTGGACAAGCTGGACCTCACATGCTCCATGAAGTCGAGTGGGTCGCGGAGCAAGCGGGCCAAGTTACTGAAGAGGGAGATCGCCCTCCTTCGCAGCAAGCTGAGCCAGCAGCAGCACAGCCAGCCCCCGCCCGCGGAATCAGGTATTGGAAGCTTTGAAGAGGAAAGTGCTCAACTGGGGCAGGAGACGGGCGAGGAAGGTGAGCACGTCCTTGGTGTCGGTCCTCATTGAGTCGCGGAGGTGCCACTGACTTGGGTCCCGAGACTCCCACAGCCTCATACCTCTGGGTTCAACTTGTCTCAAACAGATGCCAGATCTTGCTCGCGCTCTATCTTGGCACTTAGTCACAGAGTCGAAAGCACAGAATAAGGGTTTTTTTCCCTCAGCTTGGTCCTGAAAACCTGTTTAGAAAGAATGTTTCGGCCCTTGTACAACCTTCCAGAGTGGCTGCAGAGTGAAGGTGGCCCATACGCTGGAGAAGCGTGGATCACTGGGCTGGGACAGGAACGAGAGCCAGCGGTCATGACGCCGATTCCAGAGGCAGGCGGGGGGCCCCCTGCCAGTCACTGGGCAGCAGGAAGCCCACCAGAGCTGCCCTGCAGGACCCCCACCCCCTGCCCTCGGGCAGCTGCATGGTGGCCTGTCACATGCACACACTGAACGTGCCTTGCCTTGATCCCGGTGGGAGCGCATCTGGGCGGAGAGCTCGGCATCAGGGAGTTTCCATGACGGGAGCTGAGGGAGGGAGGGACACTGTGTGCCTAGCAGGAAAACTAGTGATCTCAGGGGCGGGTGGCGACAGGTGGCTGGCTTCGTGTCCTGTGAAGTCGGCCTTCGGGGGAGGACTTTGAGTTGTCCTAGTGCATGAACTCGGCAGGACACCAACGCTTCCCGCTCTTTTCTGTCCTCTCCTTCTCTAACTCGGTGCCGACACAGCTCATCACATAGCGGGGACAGCGAAACGAGACTGCTTCCCACAAGTGTCAGCAGTGCGGTTTATGAAAGTCTCAACTTTTTCCTGGCATGTCAGTAAGAAGAGAAAACCATTAAAACAAGACACACAAAAGTGTTTTATGATTTGCTTTAAAAAAAAAATACTGGTCAGCGGTGGGCTTCGGCCCTGCCAGGCTTCTGTCAGCAGCTGTGGTCCAGCCACAGGGAGCGGTGGTGACCTGGTCCCTGTGAACTCAGGTCTTCCCGTGTCGCTGCCCCTTACCCTGTTGAGATAGCCCCCCGAGTCCTTTTTTCTCTTAGAAGATGGCCTTGTGCACACAGCTAAGACTCGTGCACGTACTTTTCCTCCCTCCCGACCTGCTATGGCTCCGGGGTCATGATTCCTCTGTTTAGATGACTGGAGTGTAAGACGCAGACTGTACAGAGCTGCTCTTTTGGGCAGCAGGAGTTGCAGCCAGGCCCTAGAAGAGACCAGAGGCGTCTCCTCCACCGTGGAAGCCTCTGCCGTCAGTGTGCCACCGCGCCCCTGCCTGTGAGCGTTTTGTTCTTGGAGCACTTGCTCACGTGGGCCTTTGACAGCGAGGCCTGTTTGGGATCCTGGCCTGAGCCTCTTTTGTACCCTAGTGGTCCGTGGGGTCCAGGGTGGCCCGGCCTGGTGTGCCGCTGGGAGTGGGCGCCCTGCAACACACCCCAGAGCCTGTGATCCCCTCCTGCTGCCCCAGCTTGGCTCTGGCTGAGGGGCCTTGCTTCTCTTCTTTTGGGAAAACTGCTCTTTGCTATTTGCCCTGAAGAGAGTGAGTTGTCAGCAGGTGGACTGAGCATCTTCGTAGCAGCTCGTCCAAATGGCCCCTCTTTCCCACAGCCTGGCCTGTGCCATAGATGGCGGTTGGCCTCTCTCCTCCTCTGGCTAGGGCTCCGTCCCTCCCGGCCACTGGGCATCCACCGGTCAGAGCCCCTTCCCCCTCAGCTAGGCCCTTAGGCTGAGCAGGCGAGCCCATCCCCTTGGGGGGCCCGGCTCTGTGGCGCTGGGCCATTGGAGCGAGCCACACAGTGAGACCTGAGACCGGGCGACAGCAGAGAGTCCGCCTGCCGCCTAGTGCTTTGCCATTAGCTGGCGGAAAAGGTGGACAGCGGGGGAGGCGGCCTGAACGTCCGGCTGGGAGAGAGGGGCCACTAAGGGTGCACTGGGGTGTCCAGGGAAGACAGGGCTGAGCAGTGAGCACAGTACCAGCTGTGGGGTGAGGCAGAGAACCTTCTAGAAGATGTGGCACAGAGCTGCATTCTAACATCATGTCTGAAAGGTAGTCTTTAACGTCAGATGCGTAACGTCAGATGCGTAGTTTGTCTCAGTTGTAATTGAGCATTCACGTGGTTTCTGTGTGAGCCGACCCAGCAGGGAAGCAGTAGTCAGGTGTTCCTCTGCGCTAGCCCAGGAGGCCCTGCCACACGCTCATGCTGTCACGTGGTGCCGCGAGTCCTCCGCGTGCCCTCCGCGTGCCAGTGCGGAGCGGGGCCCTGCTGGCGTGCGCTCTGTGGGCATGGTGAGCACACAGCCAGGGGCTGGGTTCGGGTCGCCTTTTGAGCTGTCATGGCTGTGCAGGACGGTTCCTTTCTCCTTCCCCAAGGTCCCAGGGGCTCTGGTTTAATCCAGGCAATGGAGCCTGCACAGTCCGCGGGGCTGGGTTTGGCGGGCCCTGCTCTCCGCGCCATTCCACCAGAGCATCCCCGCATGTTTGTGTGAGGCGCCCTTGTTGACGTGTACAACCGTGTGCCTTCTCCCCCTGGGACTGCAAGAAGGAAGCCCAGGTCGTGGGTCAGGAATGGCCGGTGCATCACGTGGCCTTCCCGGGTGTCCTGGGCTTTGAGGAAGCATGTGGTCGGTGTGGTTGGCCACCAGGTGTGTAAGATGCTGTGGACCTGCTCTTGCAGCCTTAACGGTGCCTCTTAGTTGCCTGGAGTTGCCGGTCTAGACTGAGGCCATTGGACGGTTTGCTTTTGCCGATTTGTGTACAGGATGAGTTCCAGTGAAGGGAAGTTCGGATACTGATTTTAATCCCTACCAACTCTGAGGTGCTGCTTTGAAGTTTCATAGAAATTGTTCTGAAAGGTAATTAAGCATTTCTCACTGCAGTTAATAATGTAACTGGGAGTGGCCAATGACTTTTTAGGTCGCTGATTCCCAGTGGGCATTGCCCGCTCTGTCGGCTCTGGCTGATGGGGCTGACTTTTCTCATCCTATGGCTGAGGATACGGGCAGAGGGGCTCAGTGGCCCACGTGGGCACTGCAGTTGGTGGGGAGGTGGCTTATTTGCTGGCCCAAGTGGCCTCTGCTCTTCCTGCCCGTCATCTGCAGGACCGCCTGTGAGTGGCCCTGGCCGACAGAGCAGGGCTGCTGGGCAGGCACAGCTGTGGCCATGCTCCAGGGCCGCCTCTGCGTAGGATGGGATGGGAGGCCCTTCTGAAGAGCTCCGGCCTCCATGCCTGCTGTGGGCTGAGCTTGCAAGGCGGGAGAAGGTGTGGAACCTTGGCGGCCCCGGGCGGGCGTCGCATGACCCGGGAGCTGAGCCAGAGTGAGAGTCCCGGGGGCTCCTGAGCAGGCATGAGAGTTGGGACTGGCGACGGCATGTGAGGGGCTGCACAGCACTGTGGGAACCAGGGGGCAGCAGCACAGAGGAGCCGGTGGGGGTCCTTGGGTCCCCGTGCTGCTGCCCTGGCCCCGAGGCGGCTCCCAGGGAGGAAGGAGGTGGGCATCTTGGTGCAGTGGTCAGGTCGAGAGCCAGCATGGGGCCCGGCTGAGGGGGAGGCTGGGAGTAATGGAGGGGGTGGTGCAGGGCCGCCAAGCTGCATGCCTGGTGTGCAGGCCTGGGGCCTGTGCACGGGCTCGGTGGGGAAGCGTAGTTACTAACAGCTTTTTGGCAGGAACTCTTCCCGTTCCCCAGCCCCAGCCGGTCAGCACTCCTGTGCGTTCTATGGGTATTAGTGTTTTGGACCTGGTAGTGACTCTGATGAGTGGGAAGAAAGTTGTTGCATGTTGGTCTTGGGGCTTGAGGCCCAGTATTTGCACTTCCTGGGCACCACGGTGTGGCCTCGGGAGCGTGCCCTGTGGGTCGGTGTTAGGCGCACCAGGGAAGTGTGTCTGAGGTGTGTGTGTGTTGAGGAAGCGGCGTCCTGCAGTGTTTGGGGTGCCTGGGCCGCCCTGTCGGGCTGGAGGCACTTAGCAAAGGCACCTCCAGGCGAGGCCACTCCCAGGGTAGCTGCCCTGCCAGGCCTTGCTCGGCCCTTCACGCTGGGCAGGGAAGTTTCTCCAAACGTGCATGAGTGGGCCCGAGAAGTCGTGGAGCTTTTCGTTTAAGGTGACTGTGGATTTGAGGCATTAAGCTTGTGTTTTTCAGGTGGTTTGGGGTCTGCAGCCTCAGTAAGAGTGGGACCTGGTGGTGTGTACTGCTTCCGGATGCCTGGATGGCAGCTCGTGGCTTTCTGTGGCATGTGGTGTAGCCAGACTCAGTCTTGCTTGGGAGCAAGCACTTGGGTGCCTCAGGGTGTGGCTGTGCACAGCTCCACCGTCCGGAAGGTGCCCTCCGGGCACTGGCCTCGGGGGCTGGGCTGACGCTCTGCTCTGGGGGCTTTTCAGGATTTTCATGTTTATGTTAGTAAGTTTTAAAAGCCTTTTTACAGAGGCCCTCCAAAGACTTGTTATTTTTAAAGTCAGATTTAAAAAAAATCCGCGTCACAGCATTTCAGAAAGTGGCTGGAGGCTGGTGGGCTTGGTGTGGACCCCGGGAGGCCTTCCCACTTCCCTCAAGAGCCCATCACAGCCGCTCACTGCCCCCTGGTTTTGGCATGTGGCTTAGAAGCCCTGATCGGAAGTCAGATTCACGTGTGTGCTTCCTTTTGTTTGCTGGCCTGTGGCCCTGGTCAGGACTGTGTGGGTGGCCGGTTAGACCCTGTAGTCATGTGAGACATTTTTTCTTCCTCAAGGTAAGTGAACTATTGATTGCAGAAATTGTTATGCACCCGAGTGATGTATTTAATAGTGGCCCATGTGACTGCTCTTTCCCGCTTGTCTTCAGAGAGTGACTTTATGCCCTGGGTACCTGGACCAGGGGCCAGGCCACCTCCGCCTCTGGTGTTAGGGAAGTGCACATGGTGTGGGGCCTGGGGCCGGGCCGCTGGCCCCTCACTGCCTGCAGACAGTTTACGTGTGATGCTGTGTTTCCTTAACTGAAATCGTATTTTGGTGGACTTCACATTTATACTAAGTTTTATGATAGATTTTATAATTACCAGTTTTCAAAAATCACTTTATTTATAATTTTTTCAGGAGATAAATCTCCCCCTAAACTTGAACCATCAGATGCATTACCTCTTCCTTCAAACTCGGAGACTAATTCAGAACCACCAACCCTCAAACCAGTAGAACTCAACCCAGAGCAGAGTAAACTATTCAAAAGAGTCACATTTGGTAATGAATCACATAGCACTTGCACTCAGAGCGCCCTGGTAATCGGACACCCTCCAGAGCCCACCCTCGCCAGTAGTGGCGATGCGCCGGCGGCGGCCTCCGCAGTGGCGGAGCCATCAAGCGATGTAAACAGACGCACTTCTGTTCTCTTCTGCAAATCGAAAAGTGTAAGCCCCCCAAAGTCTGCCAAGAACACTGAAACCCAGCCAACTTCTCCTCAGCTAGGGACCAAAACCTTTTTGTCTGTAGTCCTTCCGAGGTTGGAGACTCTTCTGCAGCCAAGAAAAAGGTCACGGAGCACCTGCGGCGACTCCGAGGTGGAGGAGGGGTCCCCGGGAAAGCGCCTGGACACAGGTAAATGCCGCCCGTGCCCTGTGCACTTCTCTGGGGGTCTCGGAAGTCGTGGGAAGGGGCTCTCCAGCCTTTTGTGTTTGCAGCTTGTGGTCCAGATAAGAAGACAGATGGTGCTGTTTTCTTTGAAAACCCCCTTGTCATAGGTCTGCTGTGATGCCACCAGGGGGCGGCCATGGGTGGGGCTGGCCTGGCAGGTGGTCCTGGCCATCCTTTCTCTCTGAGGTCTGTGCCAAGAGACGCTTCAGAGGTAGTGGCTACTGGTTAGTTGGCACACGGCAGCCGTCCAGGTGAACTTGTGGCAGGCACTGTGCCTGGCTGGTGGTGCCCAGCCGGAGGGACACGTGTGGGGGTGACCTGGAGGTCGGCCCTGGCCTGTGCTGTGTGTGCCAGGGGCCCCCTGTCGGGAGACTGCGCACCCCCAGGCCCCCTGCACGGACTCTGTCCTTGGGCTGGGGCGGCGCCCGCCCAGCAGGCTGAAGATCCCTGACGGTGGTTCACCATCCTGGGTGGTTTTGTTAGTTCACGAACGGTGAATTCTTACCGCGCTACCTGCTGGAAGAAGTGACGCTCGGAAGTCTTTCTCAATTATTGCTAAGCTTCTCTAACATAAATTCACTTGATTTACCAAGAAGTTCCCATGCGTATGTTACATGAGTAGCATTTCCACGGAGCTGCTGCCACTCCAAGCCTGAAGGACGCCTTGGCTCCTGGCACCCTCTGCTCCTACAGGTCGAAGCCTAGGGGTCTCTGAGTCCCTAAACCAGCAGGCTGCTTGTCGTCCACGTGTTGGTTCAGCAGTGGCTGTGCCTGGGGCGGCTCCGGTTCTGTCTCTGCTACCGTCTTACGGGTTCCTGCTGTGGGCCGGAGTGTGGCTGTGTTTGTTGGGGTCCGTGGATCCTGTCTGAGCGAAGGGAAGTGTGTCTTCTTCTGGCTGCGCGAGCGTCTGGGCGGTTTCTCCTGCGTCTTGGGGCCGCCGGGTGGGGGGTTGCGCTCCGAGTGTCCGGCCCTCCGCGGGGCAGGCTTCCTGCCCTGCAGCAGACAGTCCCCTCTTCTTTGCTGCCCTGTTGATTCCTTATAAATTCCATTTTATCATGTACGAAATCTTTACACAGACAGTTGACTTCATGGATGAAGTTCTCTGCACTGTGCTTTCTTAGATGGATTCGTATTGAGTTGGTGTTTCTAATAATCTATAAAAACCTGCTTTGTTGCTAAGCAGTATGAGGCCCCTTCAGTGCCTCACGGCCACAGACGGCACTCTCCAGTGCTTGGGGGTCTCCCCCAACTACACGGCCAACCCTAGCCAGAGGTAGTGACTTTGAATCTGTTTCTCAGCACATTGGAATTCCCAGAAGTCAGCCCGAGGAGGGGAGTCAGGCCAGTCGTGTGTGGGGCACCGGGGCGTGGCCTCGCAGTGGTGGTAATGCGCCTCCTAGAGCCTCTGGCTGCCCGGTTGGCACCAGGGCAGGGCTCACGGTCACAGCCACCACAATCCTGGGGTCCGACAATGAGCCGCCAGGCCCCGCAGTGGCCCACGGCCCTTGGTGAGCTTCTGCCAGCCTGGCAGTTGTCGCCTTCAGGGGCCTTGTGGACTTGGTCACCAAAGCCCTGTGTAGAAAATAATGTCCCTGTCTTTCCGCGTGTCTGCAGCTGAGTGTGGGGCTTTGCAGGTCTTTCGGGTGATGGCGAGAAAGCGGGGTTCACCGCAGGCCTTCAGTGAGTGGGCGCAGGGCGTTGTCTGGAGGGGCGCTCGCACCCTGACACTGCCTGGGATGGTGGCTTTGCTTTCTTATTCTTACCCCAGAATGGCAGTAGAAGCACGATGGGTCCTCAGCCTGCAGCGCGGCCCTGGAGCCCCGGTAGCGCCGTATCTGGCTTTGCCTTCCCCTGAGCTTCCAGGCACTCTGCACACCCTGAATTTCTGGCTTCTAGCTGTGGCCTGAGTGGCCTGGGCACTTGAAGTGTTCTAAGCTCTCTGGTTTCTCCAAACTCGCCTGTGCTGCCTTGTAGGGTTTTCTGGTGTTCTGCTGCGCGGTGCACAGAGTCCCAAGTCAGAGTAAAAACAGACTGGATCGTTCTGAGCCCCATGCCCATGGGTGCCTCCCTTGTGTTGGCGGGCGGGAGGCGTGGGTGCCTCCTGGCCTCGTTCAGGGTAGGCATGCCTGGCTGCTCCCGGCGCCCCGTCTCGCAGAGCTGGCGCTGTCTCCTAGCTTCCTCCCTCTGTGACTGCTTTCCCACAATGCACCTTACGGCCAGAGCTGTGCTGTCTGTGCCCATGGTGGCGCCTGCACGTGCGTGAGTGCGTCAGGTAGAGAGGGGGAGAGGCTCTCGTGTCCCGAGGCTGCTCGGGCAGGAGGCTGGTCTGTGGTGCCTGCAGTCAGACTAAATGGCTTTTTCGCTGTTTTCCAGGTTCTCACTTTAACTGCTAACATGCTGGGTAGCTCACTCTTTGGATCTTAATTATTTTCTCTTACCTTGGACTGGAGCTCTGCTAAGCAGTCATTTTGGAGCGCAGAAAGATCGTTGCATCCTTGCATTTCACATAATTCTTGCGGATGACGTTGGAAGCATCAGTTCAGCCATCCTCCAAACAAAAACACAATCACCAAACCTGGAGGGGACATGTCCCACCCCACCCACCCCCTTCTGTAAGTCAGAGCCGGACACCACAGGAGGAACAGCGTGGGTGTGTGGGAGCCGCCGCGTCCCTCCTCGAGCCGGCCGTGCCCGTGGATAGGTGTGAACGGTGCAGAGGGGAGACGACGCAAGTGGACAGATTCCAGTCCCACCCTCAGCAGGCACAGAACTGGGCCTGGAGTGGCCAGGGCCCCTGCGTGGGGGTGCCCGGGCACAGGAAGGACCTTGGCCCACCCCATGTGGCACAGCCAGACGACGTGGCATAGACACCGACCGCTGCCTTGGTTGCCAGCACCTTCATTTCCTGGGCTTCTGCCTGATCCCTTCTTCCCTTTACTTGTCTCTGGCCTGTTCCCGCCGGTCGCATCTGGGGACCCCTGATCCATGACAGCTCTGTCTCTGCCCACCTCTCTGAACCTTGCCACAGGGAGCGAAGTGCCTGTGAGCCTTGCCCGCCGGTCCTGCGCCCTCTGGGAGCCAGTCAGGCAAACACAGGGCGGTTGGGTTCTTCCTGTTTGCTGTGTTTCCGTATTTTTGGAAGGTTGAAAAGTGCACAGAAGGTGCGGTTCTACTGCAGGCATGAAATAAAAATGTGTGAACAAGATTGCCGGCCCGCCTTCGGCTCACAGAGCTGAGTGCAGCCTCTGTGCCCGTGGCCCGAGCGGCTGGTCCCGTGGGGCCCTGTGGCGGGGAGTGAGCAGCAGCCCGGGCGGGCCACAGTGCGCACAGCCCACCTTGCTTGCCCGCCTCTTGCCTGCTGCTATCCAGAAGGTCCTTCAAGCCCCAGTGAGAGTGTGGCAGGTGTGGACCTTGGCTGACTGTCCCACCGGTTGGAGCACCTGGGGCTTCTTGCTGCCTGGCAGGTGTGAGCTTTGTGCAGCAGAGGTCTCAGCTGCGGGCAGCTCTAAGATCTGCTTCAGTCGTTGCTAATCGGCGTTTCACGAGGCCCTTTAGGCGCCCACTCTGCACGAGGCCCAAGGAGCATCTGGCCAGGTGCCTCTGGCTTGGTGTGCCGCGCCTTTGGGGGCAGCGGAGGAGGCTCCAGTGCTCCATGCGGAAAGGGCAGCACACGTGTTGGAGGGCAGTGGCCTTTCCCCGACAGCCACCTTGCCGGCACATGCTGGCTTCGAGCACTTCCGTCGCCATGCCGGAATAGCCGCTGAGAAGATGCTCTGCCGCACCCTTGGGCTCGGTTAGGGTCTCGGGCATGGTATGCACGCCTGCTTGGCAAAGGGCCCAGCGGCCCACCTCTGTGTAGGCCCCCAGACCCCGCCAGCCTGGTGTTACTTCAAGCCCTTGCCGGGCCTGTGAGGCGGGGCCCTGTGGGCTCATGGAGGCACCGCTGGCAGGAGGGGTTGGCATGGGGAGCCCGTTGGTGGGGCTGGGCAGGTAGATGGTGAGCAAGAATAGGCCGCATGCCTGCTGCCAGCCGGGAGGGCCGTGGCCGGGCTTGTCTGAGGGGCCTGCCTTTTAGTGGGTGCTTGGGGCCATTTCATGGGCGACCCGGGGCGAAGTGGGAGCAGCTCGTCGCCCTGGATGTTCTGCCGTCTCGGTGCTCAGGGGGATAAAGAGGAGCTGTGAGCCATGCCGCGTCTCTCCGACTGAGGACCTCCCCACGCTACAGTCTCCCCCCCAGTGTCCCTCGGGGTGCCTGCTTCAGGGGCTCGCCAGCGTGCCCGCAGGTGCCAGCTTCCTTGTGGCGCTGGGAGGGCAGGTGCCCTGTGTGTTGGTGCCCTGGGTCTCCCTCCTCCTCAGCCGCTGTCCGCCTGGTGTGCTCGGTAGCGGTGCCGCCTGCGCTTCCTCTTGATTCTCCCTGTGGCCGCCCCCCGCCACAGCTGGGACCCTGTTCGTCCTCGCGGGCTCTTCCCAGGTGCCCGGCTGCACCTGTCACAGGCGGTGAGACCCACACACCCGCTCCTAGAAAGGCCCCATCGTCTGGGCCCAGCCCACGGCCGCTCTGCCTGGAACGGCGCACAGCCAGCTTGCTTGGCTGGCAGAAGCACAGATGCCCTGTGGGGTCCCAGGAGCGCTAGATGAGGTTGAGGCCGTTGCAAGTCTCCGGCGTCAGCTCCACAGTGACCTGCGCAGAGCAGCTTTGTGGCTGCGTGTGCTTGTCGCTCAGATGTTGTCACAGGTGTCAGCACCTGGCCTGGCGCCAGGTGGTGTACTTGGGTCCCCCAGGCGCTGGTGGCAGCCTGCAGCTGTCAGGTGCCGGGTGGGCAGTGCCTTAGTGGCTGTGCCCCTTCTCTCAGACCTGGGCTCTCTGTGCCGGGCTCTGTGTGTCGTCCGTGTGGGTCAGGCAGCTGTCCCTGACGTGTCTGACTCCGAGTTGGGGGTCTCTGCCCTTGGGGGGGCCCTTCTGCACCTCACTGAGGACTGTTGGCCTTGGCTGACCCTGGGTGTTGAGGTGCAGGCCTACCCACCCCTTTACCTCTGTCTTCCTCACCTGCTGGGAACAGGGCTGGTGTCGGTTCTTCTACAGTGAAGGGGTGACGACAAGCCAGCATGTCTCAATCCCACGGCGTAGACTTACTTGCTGCATCTCACGGGGCTGCTCTTTCCAAGATTGTTCTTATAAATGTCCAGATTCCATAAATAAGTAGAGCACCCTCAGCTACCTGCAATCACTGCTTTATAAATAGGAATTAGGTTTAGAATAAAAAATACGGAGTTTTTCATAAAGCCAGTGGCCCTGAGTCTGACGGAAATGAAGCAGCAGTGGGTCTGCCGAGTTCGCTCAAGGGAAACACGCAGCCTCCTCGTCTGCTGGGCGAGCAGCAGAACTCGCTGTTTCTGCATTTTTATTTCTTAGCTGCTGCCAGAGGTCACGCACTGCCCTTATTTGAAAATGAGGTCTCGTCACTGAGAAAATACTGCAAGTATGTAAAAGTGGAGAAAACTTTGTAATCTGGCCACCTGCTTGAAAACCTTTTTAAAAGAAATGGATTTAAAATTTTTTTAACAATGGGAATGGGATTCCTCTTTTGGGAAGAAAGATGTGCAGCCCAGTCCCGCTGTCCACGCGAGGCCCTGGACCAGGCCGCGTCCACTGCCCCTCTGCTGGAGAGGCTTCCGCGCTGCCTCTCGCCCCTTCCCTGCTCGGCGCTGGGTTCTGCCTACCTCCTGGCTGATGCCCGGCTATTCAGGAGGGTGGCCAGTGGTGGACCTTTGCCTTGATTAAAAACCTCGGATGTTGAGGTGATCTTCCCTTTGTGTTTTGTTTGGCTGCTCAGCGGATTTGGAATCGGGCGAGTGCCCACTGTCTGGTGGGGTGGTGCTGGCCCACCCCATGGGCGTCGTGCCCACGCGTGCTGCTGTTCATAGCTTAGGGTGCTTCTGGGCACAGTGTCCGAGGTTTATGAGACACTTGCCTTCTGTGTTAAGATTTTGGAGGTTCGTGTTAGTACCTTTCTCAGGCTTGCGGATCTGTTAGCATTCTGTGTGATCTGCTGCCAGGTGGTGGTGCCCCCCAGTGAGGATGCCTGGCTCGGCCCGGGCGAGGCTCATGCCTGCGTGGCCAGAGTCTGCAGGGAGGACCCAGGACCCTCTGCTGTGCCAAGTTTTACTTTGAAGAGCAGCTTCAGCCCCTGTCCTCTGAATATCTGGGTTTCAGCTTTTATTTCACCCCAGACAGGTCCACGTCCTGTGTGGGAGGCACAGCTGGGTGTGGGTGGGTGATGCTGCCAGGTGCTGCGCAGGGTGCCCCCAGGCCTGCTGGGAGCCTTGCCCGTCTCGGCTGAGCTCAGGCGCCCGCGTGGCTGTGTTGCAGGTCTCGCCAATGGCTTTGGGGGCACAAGGAGTGAGCAGGAGCTGGGCGGCGCCCCGGGCACGAGGGCTGCGCCCCGACGACGCTGCGCCTCTGAGTCCAGCCTCTCCTCCAGCAGCGGCCCGCTTTGCGACTCGAGGTGGGCACAGCTCGCCCCGCCGCCCGCGTTCTCCCCACCCCCACGCTCCGCTGCGTTCCAAGCTGTCTGCCTTGTAGAACTTAAGCAGAAGTGGGAAGTACAGCTGCATAAAAATTCTGTTTATATTATGTCTTCCGCCCACACTCTGGCCTTCGTCGAAACGGGGCTAGGGCAGCCATGCCTGGCCGCCCCACGGAGGCCACTTGGGCCCCGTGTTCGGGCTTCCCAGGCACCACCCGCCTCCCGGGGAGGGCTCCGCGGGAGCCGCCCTGCTTTGGGTGACACAGCTCTGCTCTTTCTCCCAAAGCTTCAGCGCACCCAAGTGCGGCCGGGGCAAGCCCGCCCTGGTGCGGAGGCACACGCTGGAGGACCGCAGTGCGCTGATATCCTGCATCGAGAACGGCAACTACGCCAAGGCGGCCAGGATCGCGGCCGGTGAGTCCAGCATGGGGCCCCTCTGGCCGGTGTTCCCCGGGGGCTGCGCCAGGACCGACGAGGGTGCCGCAGGGGTGCGTCCTGCCTCGTCACCTGAGCTGAGCCGCGGGCCAGGCCTCAGGCCGGGGTCCTCGTGGTCGCTGCTGGGAGGCCACGGGGACAGTGATGATGTTGTCCTGTATTTTCGGTTTCTTGTGCGGAATACAAGAGGGTGCAGCCAGGTGTGGGGTGGCAGGGGTGGCGGCGGCTTCTAGCCTTGAACATCTAGCCACTGGACCAGGCCGGCTGGGCTTCGGGTCAGGTGGGAGCAGCTGTCACTATGGGAGGCAGCTTTCTGCTCGGGGCCCTGAGGGCAGAGACCCCAAGTCGGGAGGCCACAGGCCATGGCCCAGGGTGGCAGCCACGGAGAGCTCTGAGCAGAGACATGGTCAACGCGCCGTGAAGGACGTCCTCGCTGCAGGGGGAGGGGCCGGGGCCGGGGCCGGGGCCGGCGGGGCCTCCATCGCCAGGGCAGCTCTGGCTGAGAGGCAGGCAGGCCTCCCTGCCGGGCCAGGTGAGCAAGGGAAGGAGAGCAGGTGTAGGTCTTTGGAGGGAACAAGGGCTGCGGTCTCGAATTTGGGGTGTTGGTTGCAGAGATGCATCGGGTGGCCCCCCCCTTGGAGGTTGACACGGGACCCCAGGTGGAGAGACGCTGGGGACCTGAAGGCCAGAGGCCTGTGAACTCAGGATGAGTGGGAACGAGCCCTGGCCGGGCTGCGCGCCGTCTTGTCACCGCGGGGCAGCGGGCAGGTGCACCCTGCACGCCCTGCTGTGGGGGCGGCCCAGGCGCGCGCGTTGGGCCCTGCAGGGCTGAGCTCTGCCTGCCTTTGTGTCCCTCACTCTGTTCCTTCTTCCCCCAGAGGTTGGGCAGAACAGCATGTGGATTTCCACTGATGCTGCGGCCTCCGTCCTTGAGCCCCTGAAGGTCGTGTGGGCCAAGTGCAGTGGCTACCCCTCGTACCCTGCGCTGGTGAGCCGTGAGACGGGTGGGTCGCGGGGCTGGGACCCTGGTCTGCACATCGCGCGGGTCGGGTGTGACGTGACGTGGGTGCCCTGCGGGGAGAGGGCGCTGAGCCACATGGCCTGCACCCCCCAGGTCCGGGGCTGTCCCCTTGCTGTTGTGGAGACGGGTGTCCTCTAGTCGGGGCCCGAGTCCCTGCAGGGCTGTGCTGTGTGAGCGCCCACATGACCCAGAGTGTCCTTGTCCGGCAGATCATCGACCCCAAGATGCCACGTGTGCCTGGCCACCACAACGGGGTCACCATCCCGGCCCCGCCGCTGGCCGTGCTGAAGGCGGGCGAGCGCATGCAGACCAGGGCTGACGAGAGGCTTTTCCTTGTCCTCTTCTTTGACAACAAGCGAAGCTGGTGAGTGTGGGCGCCGCAGAGGCCTGCGCTTGGTGTCAGGCATGTCCCTGTGGCCACCGGGCCTGCCCACACATGCGTGGGCCCCGGATTTCAGAGCAGGGGCCCCAGAACGCTGTCTCCTCTCACGTGTGCTGCAAAGTCTGTGCGCCGTCGTCATAGGTGTGTAGGCAGCTGGCCCGGCCCTGCCACACTCCTCACCTGTGCGGGTCCCTGTACCCGTGGGCCCCGGCCTCCCATTCTCTGCTCTAGGAGACGCTCCTGCCTGAGGCCTGCCCTGTCCGTCATGCCTCGGGCACCAGTGCGCCACTGTTCACACCCTGACCCTTTGGGTGGGGTGCACGCGGAAGGGGCCTCCCCGCAGCACTGTTGGGGCTGAGCCCTGTGCTGATGCGGCTCCCAGGTGCGGGCCAGGCAGTCCCTGAGGTTCGCCGCCCCCCAGATCTGCCGCCCTTCGCATGCAAGCTGCTGGTGTGGTGGCCACACAGCCCCGCGGAGGCTGGTGCCTCTGCCCAGGGGAGCTGGCCCTGCAGCCCTGGCTGCCGGTTGCCCCCGGCACCGCCTTGTGGCTCAGCTGGGTTGAGTTGCGTGGTGTGGTGGCCGGGGTGCTCATGCTGTCTCTCCCCCCCACTGCCCTGCTCCCGGTCAGGCCTGAGCAGAGTGCCTCGTCTGGGACCTGGCTGGCTCCCTGGCCGCACTCACTCCTGACCATCCCCGCACACAGGAGTGTGTGTGTGTATGGATGTGTCTGCACACGGACACGCGTGGTCCCGTTGATTCTGTGCTTCTGTCACATGTTTCTTGGCGGCCACTCAGGAATGGCGTTGAAGGCTGATGGGGCGTGCCCACCTCCTGGATGCAGGGGCCTTGCTGGAGCCCCCGGGCTGCCCGGTGCTGCTGCAGACCTAGTGGCCTCGGTTGGGATTTCCCAAGGAGCGGCCCCGCCTGCCCGGGGTCCCCGCGAGCCCAATGGCTGCTGCCCGTCGTCTGCAGCTCTGGCGGCCGGTGGGGCTGCTGCAGCCCAATGGCACACTGGCACTCCTGTGCGGGCTGTGCTCACGGCTCCCGTCTCCTTTCTTTTAAAAAGGCAATGGCTCCCTAAGTCCAAAATGGTTCCCCTTGGTATTGATGAGACAATAGACAAGCTGAAAATGATGGAAGGGAGGAACTCCAGCATCCGGAAGGCCGTGAGGATCGCCTTTGACCGAGCCGTGAACCACCTGAGCCGCGTGCACGGGGAGCCAGCCAGCGACCTCAGCGACATCGACTGACCCGCCCACCTCCTGCAGAGGACCCCGCTGCTGTGCTGCCCGGCGGGCCTTGTCCATAGTGTCGATAGGCTGTACATACTTGTACATTGTTCAAAATTTAACTTATTCTGATTTTTAGGCATAGTTCTTTTAATTCTTTTTCCCCAGGGAGTGGGGAGGTTTTATTTCCAAGTTTTCTATGAAACCATCCCCGTCTGGGCACTCGGAGTGGTGTGGGCGCCCCTGCCGAGCGCGACCTGTGCCCGTCGCAGGGCACACCTGCAGGGGCTGCTCGCGTCACTTTCTTTGACCTGTAGCTTTTTTTAAAAGACTTTTGAATGTTTAATAATTTTGTAAATCATACTCTTTACACAGAGTACCACTATTTAATAAGACAGGATGTAAATTTACAATGACAAATGTGTATTTTAAGAAAGAAAATGACATTATTTTGAATGGTACTTTGTGGAAAGGGGGAGAATAAATTTATGCTGTGTACATCACTTGCAAATCACCAAAAACACTCCGCCACCCCATGGGGCCACGGCGGGCGCTCCCTGTGGGCGGGGCTGTCCTCGTGCCCCCCACTGGCCAGCCTCCATGCCGTGCCTCCCAGCGGATTATTTATTGTAGAAAGTGTATTCATTTGCTTTATAATGAAAAATAAGTTTGCAGAAGTATATTGATAAGCATTTTTATACAGGCACATAAAACAACTCGCTTTGGGAGCGGGATGAGCCCTGTACGTGACTGGCTGTGCGCTTTGATTTTGTAACTTGTAATCTTTTGTTTACAATGAGGGGCTTTCTGTAATGTTTTAATTTAGAACACTTTGGTAGCAATAGAAACTTTGGATACATTTTTGTATGGTACATGTGATGTATATAGAATTAGTACTTTATTTTTATTTTTAAGAGGTAAAGCATTATGTTAGGGGAAAAGGTTGGGTGGGTTTCCAAAATTGCATTTTTTTATATTAAAAACTAAAGCCAAGATTTGGATGGTGTGGCCACTTCATTCCTCCATCACCAGAATGCCGGGCGGTGTGCGGCCTGGAGGCTGGGCCAGGGGTGAGGGTCCTGGTGGCCTGTCCCCAGCCAACTCATTGAGGCACATGACATGCCTTCATCTTAAAATCGTCATGGATGGCATTATTTATTTTACTTAATCATATTTTTATTTTGAAGTGGTAGTTTAAATTTTTAAATGTTTTTTCTTTTCAGTCTCCATTGTTTGTAACATCTCCATAGAAACTTGAAAATAAAATGTCTTCCTTTGATAGTTTTGTCCTGTGTCTGACAGACACTTTCTACCTGCTGTCGTTCCCCGGGGCCCCCAGACCTTGTGGAAAGGGGAGGCATTGCCCCTGCTGCGTCAGAGAAGGACATCAGGTGGGGGGGCTGAGGGGGCGGCCTGGGGCAGGGGCAGGTGTCAGATCTTGTTCTTGGGGAGCACCAAGCCTGGTTTCCCCCAGAAACCTGCAATTCACCCTTGCCCCGAGGCCCTGGCTCTGTGAACTTCAGGCTGCCGGCTGCCACTGGGGCCAGGCAGGGTCAGGTCCGGGGCTAATGGCCTGAGCTCCCCCACTTCACGGGCCCACGTGACTTTGGCATAACTGAGCAGCAAGGGGCAGGACCCAGCTGTGGATCTGGGCTCTGGCCCCAAGGGTCTCGTCCCCTTGCCCTATTTCCCATGTAGGCCCAGGTCTGACCCCTGGCGCAGCCCCCTCCACGGTGTGGCAGGCAAGGGGCTGGCTACTGCCTGCTGAGT